GGGGGAAGGAGGGAGCATGGAGGAGGGATGGAAGGAGGGAGCATGGAGGAGGGATGGAAGGAGGGAGCATGGAGGAGGGGGAAGGAGGGAGCATGGAGGAGGGATGGAAGGAGGGAGCATGGAGGAGGGGGAAGGAGGGAGCATGTAGGAGGGGGATAGATGTGGAGCACCTATGAAAGCACAGCCTCTGTAACAGGGACAGTGGCTGGCATAGTTGAGTTTGTGTTTTCCTAAGTGCTTCTCTAGGGACTACACGTTTCTCATGAATAATCTGAGGACCATGCACAGTGACTCTGAGTTATCTCTACTTCAGCATTAACTGACAAGTGGAGAGAGGCTTCTTCACTGTGGGACATTGTCTTGTGCTTTGTGGATATCTGGGGCCACCCTGTGTGCTAGGGGCTAATGTCAAACATTCTGAGACACTGGAATAGTTGTTTGGCATGCTAAACAGCCCTTGGTTGGGGACCACTGGTGTGTTCAGCGGTGGAGAAGCCAGGGCACAGAAAGGTTAAGCAAATGGATAAGGTCCCAGAGCCAGAAGGAGCCGACTCTCCTCTTCCACTCCGTGCTGTTTAGGCACAGGAGATGGAACTACCTTTCTTCTGTCTTGTTTTCAGGGGAGGAAAGTCTGGGGATGCCTGTGGCAGAGGAGGTGACTGTCTGCAACTTGCTCTTTGGGCTTATCTTAATCCTTTTTACTGTTGCTATAGTCAAATCCATAGTCAGGATGATTTAGAGGAAACAGAGGTTTATTGAGCTTATGGTTCTGAAGGCTAGGAGGTCTGAGGTTTTGGGGCAGCATCTGGAGAGACATCTCATGCCATTATGGGCCCCCACCACTGAACACCATTCCTTGTGATTGTGAGGATTTGGTAGTCATCTGTACCCTGCTTTCAGGGAAGATTATGTTGATCTGTGTCCCCTGCCTTCTCCCCTGCTCAGGATGCTCAAGTTGACGTGTTTCGAGATTCCACATTCTATCTGTACTTCACCCTTGTGCTCATTCAGCTCGTGCTGTCCTGCTTCTCAGACTGCTCACCCCTGTTCTCTGAAACTGTTCATGACCTGGTAAGTATGACCTAGATGTGTATGCCCAGGTGGGAGAGAAATAGGCAGTCGCAGCTAACTCTGACTGGGCTCAGATTCTAAACCCAGCATCGACCGGGTGTTGTTCTGAGCCCAACTTCAGCATTGCAGACTCACATTCCATTTTTCTGGAAGCCCATAGCAAAATCGTTCTTCTCAATCGTCAGGTAGAAACCTTTCTTAGATATACCAATGTCCCTGGAGGTAGGGAATCTGCTTCACTGTGTCCCTGTCTGTGCCTTACAAGCCAGCTGGTGACTTTTACTTAGCATGGTGATTTTAGAAAATGTGAACAGAACCCACAGGTGAAAATTTAGAGCCACCAAATATCAGGTGAATTCCAACTGCCCAGGCTTTCTAGAAAGATGGGAAGTCCTGGTAGGTTAAGGCCATGGTCTTCGAGGGCTGTATTGGTAAGAACTAGGGCTGGGGATTTGGAGCTACATTGTCTTAGATCTTGAATCTCTGCTATGGTACCCACTAGGCCCTCTGCCACCTCTGTCAGTTCCAAGGACATTCTGTGAACTGCTGCTTCCTGATGGTCCATTTTTCTTTCTCCATCTTTTTTCCTTATTTACCCTTCCCCTCCTTCCAGTACATATCAAGTTTCAGCCCTATGATTTGTGTCCTTCCAGGCAGCCTGGCCTCCTTGTGGGGTTCCCATCAGTCCAGAGGGGTACCTTTACTTTACTCTAGCAGACAGCAGTCCCAGGCAGATTCCTGCATTTACTTGTTTTGTCCACAAATTTTTATTGGAACATATTCTTAACTTATTTGTGAAAATATCCCACACAGCTGCTGGGAATTTAAAAGGAGAATTAAGGAGTTGCTAGCAAGACTGTATTCCCCTTACCCCAAAAGCCTAGCCTTGCTTTTTGGCTCTCTGTAGATGAAGTTTACTGGCTCCTTGTCTGGAATATTTCTTTAGCTTTGCTGATTTGATACTTTGTATTTGTACTTCCTTTATTTTTTGCAGGGCTTCTTTCTTCATGTGAACACACAGCTCAGTCACTGAGGGGCCAGGACAGCCAGCTCCCTGCTGTGCTAGGCAGTTTATATGCATACTTCTTTTTAATTTTTCCATTTTTTAAACAGAGAAATGGAGTCTTAGGGACTTAAGTACCTTGCCCATTTTAAGTGGCAGAGCAGGAATTCAAACCCAGGACTGGTCCTTCTGTAGAACCCCATCACTTCTCTTGGCTGTACTCCATGTAAGGGCAGGTTTAATAATGGCTGGATTGGTTCATCAGGCCCAAAGGCAGAGATTGCCCTAGGATCTTGATGCCTTAGGCAGGGTTGGCATTCGTGGACTGCTATATCAGTGTAGGAGGAGGTCCTCTGAGGGTCCTCAGGCCTCCTTGGGGCCTCCTGGGACACTGGATATGGCTTCTGTTCTGTCCACTTCCCCTAAAACCAGGAAAGGAGTGGAGGGTACCAGAGTGCTCGGAGTTATGTTGAAGTCCTGGTGTAATGCCAAAACTGGGTTCTCTTTAAAAACATTTTGTTCATTTGTTATGACAAAATCTATTCAACCTAAGATCCATCATCTTAACTGCTTTAAATGGTTCAACGCCATCAGGAGCTTTTGATTTCATTCATAATACAAGTATTGTGGCTGGATGATTTCAGCTAGGATTGTGTTAAGACACACGGAATCATGGACCCCTTCCAGGGTCAAACCTAACACAACTTGGATAGCATCCCTGGGTAGTGTGTGTGTGTGTGCCCACGTGCTTGTGTGTGTGCAGAGAAGCTTAAGTGGCACCAGTTCAAAGATCTCAGAGTTGACTGAGTGCTTTTTTTTTTTTCCATTCTTTTTTTTTTTTAAGATTTATTTATTTATTTTATTTATGAATATACTGTAGCTGTCTTCAGACACACCAGAAGAGGGTATCCAATCTCATTATGGATGGTTGTGAGCCACCATGTGGTTGCTGGGATTTGAACTCAGGACCTCTGGAAGAGCAGTCAGTGCTCTTAACTGCTGAGCCATCTCTCCAGCCCGACTCAGTGCTTTTTTTGTTCGCTTGCTTTTTGCTATGCTGGGGATGCCAGTGTCTCACCGTCCAGCCACATCCCCAGCACCAAGGAACATATTTTTGAGGACTAAAAATATTGAGGCTCAGAGAAGTTGTGTTATCACATTCTAATTTATACCTAATTTATGTGGAAGATGAACTTCTTGGAGTTGGGTTGACCCTGGGGCTCTAAGTTCAACTGTGTCTCCTTGTGTCTTCAACAGACATTTGCAAGGCCTCTGGTGTATGATACAGCTGGTGCTAGAAACAGCAGTGTGCATTATAGTTATGATTAAAGCAGTAGGCAGGGAACACTTTTCATCCCCGAGAGTCAGTGCCTACAACTGGCACACAGAACAAAGAACAGAAGACAGGATGGTAGCAGTGAAAAGTGTATCTATATTAGAACTGAAAGAGAAGTGGTAAGTACATTCTGCAGGCAGGCACTGGCTTAGGTGAGCATGTGTTTCTGGAGTAGCATTTTCCAGGTCCAGGGCCTTTTTATTATAAAAGAGAAGGGGGCAGTCTCTGAAGGGACGGACTGTACTTTGGCTGTTGGAAATGATTGGTTCTGGGAGTTGGTGGAGACTTGTATACTCCTTGGGTACTCCAGGGCAGTAAAGGGGTGATTTTTCTGGTTCTGAAGTTAACCTTCTTTAGACTCAATCATGAATATCTATCTGATCTGTCTTCCTGCCTTTAGCTGCAAGAACTGTATACAGGATGTCAGTTGTCATCCTGGGTGTCTTTGGAAGACACAGCCTGCCACGCGTCCTCATGCCTGGAAGCAAGCACTTTTCTGACTGGGTCTTCCTCTCCTTTTTCTTTCTTCTTTTTTTAAACATTTTAACTTATTTTTAGTGTGAGTGGGCACCTGTGCCACAGCATGTTCTTAGAGGTCAGAGGACCTCCTCCAAGAGTCCTTTCTTTCCACTGCGTGAGTTCCTGGGGATCTAAGTCAGGTTGTCAGACTTGGCAGTAACTTTACCTACTTAGTCATCTTGCTGTGTAGCCAGCTAGCTATGTAGTCTAGATAGCCCTGGAGTCATCATCCTCCTGCCTCAGTTTCCCCAGGGCTGGAGTCACAGGTGTGCTCTATCATGCCTCACTTGGTAAGTTTTGTTTCTGAGATAGGGTCCCAGGCTGCCCTTGAACCTGAGATCCTCTTGTATCTGCTTCCTAAGCACTGGGATTTCAGGTGTGTGCTACCACACTGGGCTTATGTGTTTCAGTGAGTGAATACCTTCAAGTCCTGTCAAGATACAGTATGTCACCAGGATCCCACAAAGTTTTTCTTTATGGCTAGCCTCCGACTCCACCCCAGAAGTCAAATACTGGACTTTGCTTAGAGTATTCCAAACTCCATCTTTCTTGCTTGCCTTCTTTCTGCTTTGGGCCTTCAGGAATTGAGCTGTCTGTCTGTCTGTCTGTCTATCTGTCTCCATGGGGTAAAGATGAATCAACCTTGACCTCTGTCCTTGAGGTGAGATGGAAGGGTGTGTGTGTGTGTGTGTGTGTGTGTGTTACAGAATGGACAGTCAGAGCTAATGGTCACAGGAATAAGAGAACGGCTGCTGCTAGGTGAGGAAGTTTTTTGCATATGTTTACTTTGTGTGTTTTATGGGAGGGGTTCCTAGGAGAAGTAATATGTGAAAAGTTCCAGATGTGTGATACTGGGACACTTCTGTTTGACTCTGTCAGAAGGCTCTGTCCCAGGAATTAAGTGACACAGCTGGGAGAGAGGAGAATACTAGGAACTGAGTACAGCATACACGTGCTCAAGAACAGAAATATATATATATATATATATATATGAATGAAATGTTTTTCCTTTGAGACAAGTCCTTACATAGCAAGGGCGACCTCAAATTCCTTTTGTAATAGAAATGACCATGTATTTCTGATCCTCCATTCTCCACTTTCTGACATTACAGGCATGTACCACTATGCTTGGTTTATGAAATGCTTGGTATACGCCAGGCTAGGTTCCACCAAACAGTCCCAGCTCCAGCCCTGTATCGGGGAAGTTTAATTTTATTGTAGTGGTCGTTTATGAGAACATCTATAGTGTTACCTTCAATTTGGATGTGTTTGGGGGACACCTTGGGCTAAAAGGAGACTACATGGGACTTAGGGAGGTTGGTGGCACTCAGAAAGATGTCACGGATGGCCCAACAGCCAGAGCGAGGACATAGCATCTATGTACACTAAGGGGTTTGGTACCAGGATTAGGAAATGGAAAGTTTATGGGGAAAGGGCTTGGGAAACAGGTCCAGGTATGTGCTCTGTCCCAGAAGGACGTGTCTTGAGCAGCTGTTGCCTGGCAGGCCTGCAAATTGCTAGTGTTAATAAGACACCTGAAAAAGTCTCATTATTGGACTTTGGCATTGTTTTAACAGTCATAGGCATAGCAGTACACAGTCCATTTAGCCTGTACAACAAACCCAGCAGAATGCATTTTAAGCCTCCTGGTTTATAGGTAAAAACAGAGTTTCAGAGTGGAGTACAGGAGAGAAATCTATACTTAGAGCTTGTTAGAGCGTATAGATTATTGCCCCTACTCCCAATCTTGATAGCATAGGGCAGGGCATGGCTAGAACTTTTTATCTCTATAAAATTTGCTGCTGCTGCTGGGACCACATTGGAGACCGTCACTCTAAACTGCCTGGCTTCTGCACATCTGCCTCTTACCTCAGTCCTTTAGTCTGAGCATGCTGGGCAGAAAACTGAGTTAGATTATAACTCCAGTTAGCTTTGCTGTCACAGAAGCCCTCCCATGTTAGAGGCTTCCAGAAACCAGCTTCCAAGTTGATAGATTTTCTTCTGTGTGCTCCCAAGGACGCCCTGGGGCTATAACCTCAGATAATCTGAGTGTCCCTGATTGGATCAAGAGGAGGGAGGAGGCCTGGAAGTAGACGAAGCTCCAGGAGGTTGCAGAGAGAAGTGGAAATGTCTTGCTAATAA